TCTTTATTGATTTTAGAGAGAGGAAGGGAGAAGGAGAGAAAGATAGAAACATCGATGAGAGAGAACATCGACTGGCTGCCTCCTGCATACTCCTCACTGGGGATCAGGCCCACAACCTGGGCATGTGCCCTGACCGAAAATCAAATCGGCGACCTCCTGGTGCATGGGTCCACGCTCAACCACTGAGCCACACTGGCCAGGCTCATCTGTGTATCCTGACTAGAAGGTCAGCTCCTTGAGGGCAACGACTTTGGTCACACGTATTTCCAAGTGCCTAGAAGAGTGCTTGACACATAGCAGGTACTTAATACATGAACAAAGGTATTGATTAACCCCATGCTTGTTCACAGGTTGGCTTACACAGAAGAGACACCCAGACAAGCAGGCATAGACGAGAATCCACAGCAGAGCCTGCGGTCGTCCGCATACCCTGGGGAGGGCCAGAAACCGGGGACCACCTGCTCTCTCGCCCGCGGTGAGGACAGCCAGCCCCAGCTGGAGCACCCCAGGGAGGAGGGAAGGATGCTGTGGGGAGAGCCCAGCCCCACCCTGTATCCCCAGCGGCCAATGGGTGCGCGGTCCTCCCGACGCCCCCTGGGATGTGTAGTCCGGTCAGGGCACATTCGGGCGCCGCCACGCGCCCCTAGACTCCACGTCCCGTCGTGCGCCGGGAGGCGCGGGGATTGGTCGAGACCCGCCCCAGGCCCGCCCCGCTCCGCTCGCGCCGCAGCCCCAAGAATGAATGAAATCGTAGCGCGCTGGGCGGCAGAGCGGGCGGCGCAGGCCGGGCTGGGCCCGCGCGCGGCGGCAGCGGCGCCCCGGGCCGGAGGCGGCCCAGCCGAGCGGGCCATGGCCACCGCCATTCAGAACCCGCTCAAGTCGTGAGTGTCCCCGCCGTCCACGTCCCTCCATACTCCCCGCCCTTCCCCCGCCCTCGCTGGGGAGGGGGATGCAGTGCGCGGATGGTAGTTGAATGGGGGGTCCCCAGCTCACCTTCCATGCCCCCTGGGGGGCCCACCATCCCATGTCGCCCCCGGGGTGGGGGTTGGGAGCCCCTTCAGGGTCGCGGGGGCGCCCCTTCTTTGTCGCTGTCAGTGAAGGAATGTGGCGCGGGTTGGGGGGTGGCGGAGGCCCTTTCCCCACCCAGAGTGGGGGTAGGGGTTTCCCCTTCCTCCTCCTTCATTTCTCCTCCCCCGTGTCTCTGGGGGCGCCTGGCCTGCCCCGACATGGGGTCGGGAGTACGCACGCCTAATCCAGATCTCAGTTTCCAGAGTCTCCACCACCCTTTTCCCTTTCATCAAAGCACCTTTCTCTCTTTTTCCCTTTCTTTTTCGGCCCACGCGGCCGGAATGTGGGAGCTGAGATTTCGGAGGTTCCCGGTTAGATCCGTCTCCCTTTTTTACTTCTGGGTCTTCAGTACCTAGAAGCCCTGATGCCCCGGTCGGCTTAGATCGTGAGATTCCTCCCTCTCCTCGCCCATACACATCTAAGGCGGGCATTTCCCATCCTCTTGGGCACAGGATGCCTCCGGAGAGGGTTCTGGGAGCGCCCTCCTCTCCGAGAATCCCCTCCCTTTCTCCCTGTCCGCGTCCCTCCACCGCGCCTTAGCTCCCTCCAGGGCCCATGTCTGGGAACCAGGAGGTGTGGGTTCGCGCCTAGCAGCTTCCCATACCTCCCCTCTCCTTGCCATCCTCGATCTCTCCACCTCTCTCCCTCGTCGGGAACCTGGACTCCTAGGTCCCAGCGCTCCCCACCCCCTTTCCCAGGCGGTGACTGCGGGCTCCGAGTGACAGGCGCGCGGCCGCTCGCGTCCTCTCTCCCCTGCGGGCGAGCGCGCACTCCCCTCCCCCTCCTTCCGGGCCTAGGGGAGGAGACCGAGGGCGAGCGCCCGCGGCGCTGCACAAAGGGGCCGGGGTTACCTCCCTCAACCTTCCCCCAACCCTTTGCGCTCTCTGCGTAGACCTCGAGCGTCTTGTGCTGGGGGGTGAGGAGAGGGGAGGGGCCCAGGAGTGCCCCCACCCCAAGTGCTGTGCTGGGTGGCTGGACCTAAGGCCCCCAGGTGCTTCTGGTTTCTGGCGGGGAGAAGTTGGGAGAGGTGGTGGGCGGGGGCTCGTGGGCACGCGCCGACACGTGTGGCTTCGCGGTGAGCAAAAGAAGGCTGGGAGGGCGGGTGTGGGCTCGGTCAGTGCGAGAGGGTGTGTGATGGGGACTCCTTTCAGCTTCCTTCTCATTCTAAGTCGTACACACAGATAGACGTCTCCCCTGTGAGATACCCTCCAACTGGCTGGGACCGGGTTCCTGTGCCTTTGGATGATCTATAGGCAGACATCCAGGCCGCCTCACTCTGACCCTGCCCAGACCTGTAGGAGGGTATGTGGGGCAGCCCACTGCGGGGACCTGGAGGCCAGAGTCAGCACTGGGGTGGGAGAGCCAGCACCCTCTGGCTCTCACCTTCCAAGGGTTGTGCAGGGGTGAGGGGAGGGACTCCTGAAAGAATGAGCAAGTCAGATCTCCTTGGGAGTGGGAAGCTGGAGCATGCAGCCTCCAGTTCTGACTGCCTGCGTTCAAACCCCAGCTTGAGCCATTAGTTCCCCCCTCCCCCGGCCTCAGTGTTTCTATCTGTGGATTGGGAACCCACAGTTCTTATTACCTCAGGAAGCTGTTTGATCTTTAGTGCACATACAGAGCCTGGCCCTGACTAAATGTAGTGATTAGTAGTAGTATCAATATTGATTTCATTTGTGGTCCAGTTTTCCAAAGAGCACCCATGGGTGGGAATAGGAGGATTGTTTAGGCAGGAGGAAGAACTGGGAGTTTAAGTGTGGGAGAGGGGTCGGTGAAAGGGACAAGGAGTAAGAAAAGGGGGGAGGCCCCTCTCCGGTTGTTCCTGTGGGTCTGAAGGTGCTGGCAGACAAGGGCCTCCTGGAGGAGATGAGGTGTCTACATTAAGGCTCCAAATTGATCAAATCGAGTGGAGAGTTCTGGGATGGGGGAGGAGCAAAGCAGGGTTTCTGAGGCTAAAGGTGCAGGGAGTAAATGTCAGAGGGTGTGAGGGTGGTGGCAGGTTACAGAGGAAGGCGGCAAGGGCAGCTTCTGAGCTGAGTTGACAGGTTGGAGGCATATGGACATATGGACATATGGAATGGCCACCATAGGGCCAAGAGGCCAGAGTGAGTGTGGTGCTGCCAGCATCTCGGACTTACTCCCCTTGTCACACCTCTGGGCCAGATGTGAAGCAGAGACCCCTCCCTCAAGGCCTTACCTGGAGCAGATGGGGAGAGTTTGTGGAAGGGGTTTAAGACTAGAGGTGTGTGTGTAGAAGTGACCATGGGATGGGAGGCCTGCGAGGGTCTCTCTCACCAGGGGAGGTGAGGGCATCGAGTAACAAAAGAGGTGAAGGCTAGTAAGCCTTCTCTGTCTGCTGGAGAGCCCCCTGGTGGACAGGACGTTGACGGGTGTTTTCATCCATGGGCTGCTCAAACCTGACACAAAGTTTGGACTAGGAGGGCTGTGGGTGTGTGCATGGAGAGACTAAGTGTGTGTGATCAGGTGAGTCACTCTCTGGGGACCTCTTAGGATAGAGTCATTGTGGGTGACAGTGGGAGAGAGAAGGTGCTGATAAGGCCCACTTGGGGACACATAAGTCTGGGTGAGTGAATCCTTCCCTCAGTTGTACCTTCACACAGCCTCCAGGACTAGAGGGCATCTAACTTCACCTCCCTGTCCGCATTCGGAAAATGGGCGTAATAAATGAGGGTTATTGTGAGGAGCAAATGAATTAATCCCTGTAAAGCACTTAGAACTGTGTCGGGCACCTGGTGGGTGTTCAGTATATTTATTCATTCATTCGACAAATATTTATTGAGCATTTACTATGTGCCAGGCATTATTATTTCTAATAATAGTAATAATATTACCATTTTACATCTTAGTACATATCAAATCTTCTTTGTGGTATGAATGAATTTACTGAGCACATACTACCTGCCCGGTACCTTTTAAAACACTTTATTTAGCCCTGGTTTGGTTCAGCAGTTAGTGCATCAGTCCGCGGACCAGAGAGCCTCCGGTTCGGTTCCCGCTAAGGACACATACCTTGGTTGCAGTTTGTCCCCGGCCTTGGTTGGGGTCATGTGGATGGCAGCCACTCGATGTGTCTCTCTCACGTTGATGTTTCTCTCTCTCTCTCTCTCTTCCTCCTCTCCCTCAAGGTACATGCAAAAAATGTCCTCAGGTGAGGATAAATAAATAAATAAAACACTTTATTTAGTTACTCACTTAATGCTCACAACAATACAATGAGGCACCACCCTGATGAGGAAACTGAGGCCCAGAAAGAATAAATCATTGCCCAAGGTCACTTGGCCACGAGTGGCAGAGCCAGGATTTGAACCTAAGAGGTGTGGCTACAGCGCCTAACTAGCACTGCCACTGTCAGGCCCGCAAAGGGGTTGAGCAGGTTGGGCGGGGTCACTGTGAGAGTGACAGCCCCGGGTGGGACCGGACGGGCAGGGTTCTCTGGAGCGAGGGGGACTGGAGAGTGTGGGTGGGGAGGGGGCGGTATCGGTGAGCCTCCGTCTGCCTGCGGGCGGCAGTGTTGGTGGGACGTTTGCGTCGGCACCTGTACGGTGTCTCTGAGTCTCCTGGCACTGAAGTATGTGTGAGTGTAAATGTGTGTGAGTATGTGGGGTGTGGGAGTGGAGTGTGCATGAGTCTACGTGGGAGGCAGCGAGTGTACGTGTGAATTTGTGTGTAAACGGCCGTGTGTGTGTGCGAGTCCAGGTGTGCGTGAGTGTACGCCCGTGAGACCAGATGTGTGTTTGAGTGAGCATGTGTGAGTGGCTGCGTGCCGCCTGGGCCCCACCTCTGCACCTCCTTCCCCGCGGGGTCCCGCCAACACCCAGGCCTGGACTACGACTCCCAGCATGGCAGGGGTGGGCCCGCCCCGCTGCCCTGATTGGCTGTGGCCCCCGTGCTCCCGCCCCCCGGGAATGAATGGATGGGCGGCCTCCCCGCCCGCCCGAGCGCTAGGAGGACCGACCCGCGGGGACCTGCTGGGGGCAGGACCCGGGGAGCAAGATGGCCACGGTCATCCCCGGCCCCCTGAGGTGATGCGGCCGTGGGGGAGGGCGCGCGGGCGGGTCTGCGCGGGTGTGTGTGTGTGTGTGTGTGTGGACTGGGGGTGGGGCCGATGGGGTGTCTGGGGGGCTGTCACCGTGGGCCCGGCTGCGCGGGGGTGCGAGTGTGTGACTATGGGTCTCTGGCAAGAACGGGGTCCGACGCACTGCTCCTGGAAAAGCGGAGGGTGTGGGGAACTCGGAGTCCTCTTCGAGCCCTCTTGGGGCAGGGGTCATGTCCGGCCCTGCGACCCCCGGGTAGGGGAGAGGGCGAAATGGCCGTGGGGTGCAGGGACCTTGGTAAACTTGGGTGAAGCCCCCTCAACCTTTGTCTTGGGGTCTGGAGTGTGTGTCACTTGTTTGTGTTCTGTTTTTGGGGGGATATGTGTGTGGACATGTGTTTTGTTTATTTTATTCTACACTGGGTATCTTTGGATATTTAGGTCTTTGAGTGTGTAAATGTCCCTTGAAACTGTGTATCATTTGTGTTGTGTGTCTTTGGATATGTAGGTATGCATGTATCTATGTGTCCATTTTTGTGTGAATGTGGGTAGATATATCTATGTTCTATATGTATGTGTCTTTGTGTGTTTGAATATGTGGTATTTTAGATGTTGGTTTCTATATTGTATATCTTTGTGAATGTGTGTGTATCCTGGGTGATTCTGTATGATTTCTTTGTATAGTATGTGTGTGATTTGTGTTGTGTCTTTGGACCTGTGTGTAAGTGCATATGTGGGTAGTTTGCTTTAACATTCCTTCTTTCAACGGTTGTATATATGTGTGTATGTGTGGTGTGTCTGATCTGTTTGCTTGTTGTGTGTCCTTGTGTGGGTGATTTGTTTATGTTGTGTGTCTGGATAGGTGATGCATATTTGTGCACGGATATGTGTGTGATCTGTTTCTACACGGTGTGACTTGGGATATTTATTTTTCAGTAGATATGTGTATATGCACATATGTGAGATTTCTGTTTCCTCTTTGTGAGTCTTGGGATATGTCTCTCTTTGTGTGTGAATTGGTGTGACTGTGTGTGATTTGTTTGTGTTGTGTGTTTGGATAAGTGCACGTATGGACGGGGCCCTGTGTATTTTTTGTTTGTTTCTATATTGTGTATATCTACTCGTTGGCTAGAGGCCTGCTTGAGTCCCAGGCGGGGGGCTCCTGAGTCCAGGAGCGACAGGAGGGGAGAGGTGAGGTCGGAGGAGTCTGCTCACCCATTCCCGCCGGGCGGGCTTGGGGAGGGATGCTGGGCGACCTGGCGCGCCCGCCCTTGCTGACAGCCGCCCGCCCGCGCCCCGCAGCCTAGGCGAGGACTTCTACCGCGAGGCCATCGAGCACTGCCGCAGCTACAACGCGCGCCTGTGCGCCGAGCGCAGCCTGCGCCTGCCCTTCCTCGACTCGCAGACCGGCGTGGCCCAGAACAACTGCTACATCTGGATGGAAAAGACCCACCGCGGGCCGGGTACCCGCCCCGGGAGGGCGGGGGCGGGGTGGGGCGGGGCGGCGGCCTCGCCGCCGAGGTCTCACTGCCCATTTCACTCCAGGTTTGGCTCCAGGACAGATCTACACATACCCCGCCCGCTGTTGGAGAAAGAAACGGAGACTCAACATCCTGGAGGACCCCAGACTCCGGCCCTGCGAGTACAAGATCGGTGGGTGGGGCTGTTTGTACCTGGGCTGGCTCCCTGCAGTCCCCGGCGCGCTCAGTGTGTGGCATGCCAGTGTGTGTCCGAGCCTTCGCCTGGCCTCCCTCCTATCCTGTGTCCGAGTGGCTGGCTGGTCTCCGTGTGTGCCTGGGTGCAGTCCAGATCTCGTTTTCCCGGAGTGACTGAGCTCTGAGTGGTAGCTACCACCTGGGCGCAGGTGTGCCTGAGAGCAGAGTGGTACCTGCTGTGTGAGTCGAGGTGTATTCAGCCTTTGTGTATCTTCCCTTGTGAGCTGGGATGTGTTAGAGCGTCTGGCTCTGTCTTGCTGTGGGTGCCTGAGTATGTCTGGATGCGTCAGAGCGTCTGGTTGCAACTTTTGCCATTTGTAGTGGAGTGTAGCTAAGTGGAGTGGAGTGTATCTGCATCTCTCTCCAGGTGCTCCCAAGTGTATTAGGTTTATTTCTGTGTGTGTGTGTGTGGTATATCAGGGTGTCTGGTGTGGTATATCATCGTGTCCGGTTGCCTCTTTGGTTGAGCGCCCATGTGTTTGGAATGTGTGGGAGGCTCGCTCTCAGTATCTGGTGTATTAGGTATGTTTCTGCCCATGTGTGTTGGTCCACCAGAATGTCTGGCCTTATCACTTAAATGTGTCACTGGCTGTTTCTCTTCCCCATCCAAGTGTATCCAAGGGTCTGTGTGGGTCCAGGTGTATTAGGTGCAGGTGTCCACCTGGCTGTCTTCCCAGGTGTGTCTGACAGCCTCAGAGGGACTGTCTGTATTGTCCATGTGTTTCCGTCTGAGTGATTCTCCCTGGGTGTCTCTCTCTCCCATGTGTGTCCAGGCGTATGATAGGGTCTGGCTGTGTCTGGTGGTCTAACGGTCTCTTTCTGAGTGTCTGTGTGTATCCAAGGGTCTGCATGTGTCTCCCTCACGTGTCTGGGTGCACCTGAGTGTCTGGGTATATCTCTTCCTTTGTCTGGCTGTCTAAGATGATCTGTCTGTCTCTCTCCCGTGTATGCCCGTGCGTCCTTTTGACTGTGTATCTCTCTGTATTTGTCTAGGTGTGAGGGAGGGGCTGGCTGGGGTCTCCTCCATGTATCTAGTCTATCCAAGGGTCTGGCCATGTCTCCTGCTGAGTGTGTCCTGCAGAATCTGAGGGTCTGAGCTCCCTTCTCAGGGTGTGGTGCACCTTCGTTCTGCTGCTGGTTGAGAGTGGGAGAGCCCCCCTCTCCCTCCCTCAGTGAGCAGTTTGAGGAGCCCCAGGGACAACTTCCCCACTTCACCCACCCGTGGCCTTGTCCCCAGACTGTGAGGCACCCCTGAAGAAGGAGGGTGGCCTCCCCGAAGGGCCTGTCCTCGAGGCTCTCCTGTGTGCAGAGACAGGGGAGAAGAAGATTGAGCTGAAGGAGGAGGAGGCCATTATGGACTGCCAGGTAGGACCACCCCCGGGGCCTCTGCTCCCGGGGCCTCCGCTCCTGGGCCTCAGCTCCCCGCCCTTCCTCCTGCCCCCGCACATTACTTCCTGCTCTGAAGTGCCCCCCCCCCCCCCCGCTCCCAAGGGCCTCTGGCATCTTAGGTCTTCGTCCTCCACACCTCATCTCTTTAGAAGACCCCCAGAATTGTCCTGTCACCCCAATCTCCGGCTCTGCACAGAACCCCCAAAGCAGGCCAATGCTCTCCATTCTCTTAACTCTCCCTTCTCCTGCCCAGAAACAGCAGCTGCTGGAGTTTCCGCATGATCTCGAGGTGGAAGACTTGGAGGATGACATTCCCAGGAGGAAAAACAGGGCCAAAGGAAAGGTATCTCCCCGTCACCCCTCCCCTCGAAGCACACCCCATTTACTAAGCAGGCAAGGTGATCAGACCTGCCCCAGTTTGGCCTCATTTAACCCTCAGAACAGCTAGGGGGGTCTTATACCCATTTCACAGACGAGGAGGCGGAGGCTCCGCTATATTAAACCATCTGCAAACAGAGATCGTAAGGTGGGCTAGAACTATCTCCATATCTGAGGCCCAGATACAGAGGAAACGGAACCTCAGGGGCGGAACCTCAGGGGCGTTGAATGACCGAAAGCCCACTGTTAGGAAGCGGCGATTCAGTGTTCAGGCCCAGGAGATGAAAGCTCTTTCAGTTGCCTCCCTTTCTTGGCCCCTCACTCCGACTCTTCCCCCAGGCGTACGGCATCGGGGGTCTCCGGAAACGTCAGGACACCGCTTGCCTGGAGGACCGAGACAAGCCGTATGTCTGTGATAGTGAGTCCTGAAGAGAGGGAGAGAGAGAGAGAGAGAGTGGGGCCCAGTGACCTGTCCCTTCCTGGCCCCCCTCCTGTTCGGGACCCTGGCGGGAGGATGCTCAGGCCTCTGGCAGAGGGGGAGGTGTGATCCCAGAGCCCAGAATGGAGGTGCCATGGGCTGGGAGGCCTGACGGGCCCTCCCTGCTCGCTCCCCTCTCCAGTCTGTGGGAAACGGTATAAGAACCGGCCAGGGCTCAGCTACCACTACACCCACACCCACCTGGCTGAGGAGGAGGGGGAGGAGAACGCCGAGCGCCACGCCCTGCCCTTCCACCGGAAAAACAACCATAAACGTGAGCAGGCAGGCGGGCTGTGGGCTGTGAGGGGCCCTAGGAATGGGGGCTAGGAGCCTGGGAGGGAGGGGGCATGTTAGACATTTCTGGAAAATCTCCAGCTCAGTGGTCCCCTCCCCCCACAGACCATGGGGAAGCTGGCTCTGGGGTTGCCATGGCAACCAACCATCTCTCTCTCTCTCTCTCTCTCTCTCTCTCTCTCTCCCCCTCTCCCTCTCTCTCGGCCATAATATTTCTGGGTCTGATTTATTGTTTCAATTAGAGCTTGGGGAGGGGGGTGATAGATGACTCCCCTCTGTCCCTGCCTCCCTTTCTCCCTTCTCTGCTAAGCTTTGGCGGAAGCGCAGGGTCTGTGGCCTGGGAGCCCTTGGTGACCGCCCGTGCCAATCCCATGCCAACCTCGACAGCTGAGGGGTGGGGGAGGGCCTGAGGGAGGCTCTGTCAGTGCGGAAACCATCTTCACGCCCGTCCCTTGGTGGGAGAGGACAGTCTCTTTATCCTACCCCACTGCTCACCCAGGCATCTGTTTGGAATTTTCCTTCTGAACGTTTCACAGCAGATTGGCCAGTAGTATCGACCCGGTTCTTACCTAGTTGGGGCTCAGTTGGGGGTGGCTGCCTGATAGAAGTGGGCGTGTGGGGGAGGCAGGGGACTCTTCCTGAAGCTGTATTTGTCAAGTTTTTACCTGATAAAGAGGACAGGTCACTTGACAACAAAGAGATGGGGGGACCCTGATGAGAATTATTTGGGTTCCCCGAGTCTCTTTTTCTCTGGCCACAACTCAGGATAGCTACTCTCTCTCCCCACCTCCCCCAAGCCCAGACCGAGGGGTGCATCCCTGGGGCTGAGGCTGGGGGCAGGGTGGAGCCTTGCCTATGGTGAGAGTCCCTCTCTCTGTCCCCCCCAAACCCCCCAGAGTTTTACAAGGAATTGGCCTGGGTCCCTGATGCGCAGAGGAAACACACAGGTAGGGACGCCTCCCTCTGCCCTCCTTCAGCAGCCTCTCCCGGGGGCCCTGCCTGCCCACGCCAACCCCGCCTCCTGCCTTTCAGCCAAAAAGGGGCCTGACGGCACCGTCATCCCCAACGGCTACTGTGACTTCTGCCTGGGTGGCTCCAAGAAGACGGGGTGTCCCGAAGACCTCATCTCCTGTGCTGACTGTGGGCGATCAGGTGACGCCCCCGCTGAGGTTTCTGGGGCCCGGGGCGGAGAGGACTCCCGGAGTCCATATCCGGAGGATGGGGGGCAGAAGAGTGAGGACTTCGGGGGCACCAGAGCGTCCCATGGGCACTGAGGAGGAGAACCGGAGCTGGGGGGGCTGACGCCACTGCTGAGGATTGTGGGAAACTGAGTGGGGTCAGGGAGGCTGTGGGAATAACGGGATGTGGTTGTGTTGGCGTCGCAGGTAGTGACATGTGCTGAGCCTGGTGGGGAGTGGTGAACGCTGGTCGCCAAGGCACGTGGGTGGTGGGCTGTGATCGGGAGGAACGGCTGCCACGGCCGGGGCACTGTGGGTAGCGGGCGCTTGCCCTGGCGTCGTGGTTAATAGCTGTGGTTTCCCATGGTGGGCTTGTGGGGAACAGACGGTGGTTGCCTCAGCCAGTGGGTAATGAATTGTGGTTGTCATGGTATTATGGGCAGGGTAATATGATTGTCATGGCAATCGGGTGTAGTAGTCACGGCGCTGGAGTGGGGTGACAGGCGGATTGGCATTGCACAGTGTTGCCATTAACAGTTTCATTGCTGGGGTATCCTGTGATGGGCGGAGGTGCAGGGAACCCCGGGGCCCCTCCACCCGCTGTGAGCGGTGGTTGCCATGGCATTGTGTCTGGAGGACGTGACGGCCACGCTCTGTGGTTCCCTCCGCACAGTGGTTAGCAGAATGTGGCTGCCCAGAGTTGTGGGTGGTAGGAAGTGGTTGCCACAGCACTGTGGGTAATGGAATGCGGTTGCCATGGTGTTCTGGGGAGCCGAGTGTGGTTGCCATGGTGGTCGAGTAGGAGACTGGTGGCCCCCGTGGCTGCTGGCAGTAGGTTGCCCGGCCCCCTGGGCAGGGTGGGGTCAGGCTGCGGACCCCAGAAGCTCATCGGCCTCATGAGCCAGGGGTAAGGGCTGAAGCATTTCTTCCCTCGGCTCAGTAGTTACCAGGGGCACGATGACCCCTAACCGCACCCCTGCCCCTCGGCCCCCAGGACACCCCTCGTGTTTACAGTTCACGGTGAACATGACGGCGGCCGTGCGGACCTACCGCTGGCAGTGCATCGAGTGCAAGTCCTGCAGCCTGTGCGGCACCTCGGAGAACGATGTGAGTGCCCCGCCCGCCCGCCCGGCCGCGGCGGCCTCCCCACCTGGCACCTCTGCCTTTGCCCGTGGGCCCGCGCCTTCCCCTGAGCCCCCTCCCTGGTGACCACTAGTAACCTGTATTATTATCATTGTTAGTGGCCATTCATTGAGCCCGGCACTTAATACTCTTCATCTCTCTGACTCCTCCCAACCACCCTCCGAGGTAGGTGCTCGTGTTCCCACTTCACAGAGACGGGAAAGAACTTGCCCAAGGTCAGCCAGCTAGGGACGTGTACAGCTGGGCCCCGCACCCGTGTCACTGTTTCCGGAGCTGGTGGCGGCCCATCTCAGCGTTGTTTTAAGTGTTCCACAAAATCTGAGAAAGCCACCCGCACACTGACACGCTCAGGGCGTTTGCTCAGCCAAGCAGGGCTTGGCCAAGACTCCGTGGCGCGGAGGACTCGGGAGCCCTTTCTTGTGAAAGGGCCCACCTCCCCCAGCACCCCTGACTGGCCCCGGCCCCAGCCCCCCACCCTGGTTTCTGGTGCCCGTGCCCCCAGGGTGCCAGCTGGGCGGGTCTCACCCCCCAGGACCAGCTGCTGTTTTGTGATGACTGCGATCGGGGTTACCACATGTACTGCCTGAGCCCCCCCATGGCGGAGCCCCCGGAAGGTGAGAGAAGAGGTGGGCACCACGCTGGGGTGGGCGGGCTGCAAAGCGGTCTTCTTGTTGGTGAAGACCCTGCCCTCGGGGTGGGAGGGGTTGAGCAGCCTTCCCGGACCTGGGCCTAAGGCCCTGTCCTCTGGCCACCCCACAGGGAGCTGGAGTTGTCACCTCTGTCTTCGGCACCTGAAAGAGAAGGCGTCTGCCTACATCACCCTCACCTAGGCCTGGCTCTGGCTCACCGGGGCCTCTGGGGTGCTGCCTCCCACCGGCCTCTCGGGGCTCCTCTGCTCCCTCCTCATCCTTAACGCCCCCGTGGGAGGGGCGAGGGGAGCCCGAGAGGCCTGGGCCGCCCCCTCTGTGCAAGTGGAATGTTCACCCTGTGGGCTGGTGGCCCAGCAGGTCTCCTCTCCCCTCCTCCCTCCTTCCCCATCCTTTGGCAAATGGGCACCAGGGGCTCTGCTCCCCTCAAAGCCATACCCCGCCTCTGGGCGGGCACGAGGGGTGGTGGATGCCTGCCGGGGGCCTGGACCCAGCCTTTTTCTACAGAAAAAGTCAAAAAGTTAAAAAAAAAAAAGAAAGAAAAGAAAAAAGAAATTAATATATACAAAGAGTCCTATAAGGCCTGGCTGGGTGGAGGGGGCACCGCTGAGCAAGTCCACAGGGCACCAGTCTGCCAGCTTCCTGCCTGGCGGCCCCTCCCCCCAGCTGTGGAGCTGCAACTGCCCCACCTCCCCACCCCCAGGTGGGCACCATTCCCCCCTCTTGCCCAGGGCAGGTGGGTGTGGTGTCCACCCTCGTCCCTTCTTGGTGCCCAGCCCACCTCTTGGTGCCCACCGTGGATACTGCATGATGTGAACCATGGTTTTGAACTCTGTCCCTGCCCCCTCCGAGAGCCCCACCCCGCCTGCCAGGCCACAGGTGTTGTGGTGGGGCAGGTGGGCCCCTGCCCAGCGCCCGCTGGGATGAGAAGCACAGACTCTGCAAAGGACTAGTTTTTCCTCCTCCCCCAGCCCTGATCCGCCCCATCCCGGCCAGGCCGGGCTGCCCCCACCCTCCTCGCTGGCCATACTGGGGGTAGCGAGGGGCAGTGGTTGTTTCTCGTGGTTGTGTGTATTTGTTGTTCTGGTTAAAAAAAAAGGGAAACTGAGACTGCAAGTGGGTGAGGTTGTGGGTTTGGGGGGTCTCCCCCAATCCAGGCATGCCCCCCTGTACACGAGTCTCCTTTATTGCCTGCCTCTGCTGTGAATTAACTTGTTCTGTGTATTAAACTGGGCCTGACCCCTCTGCCACGACTACCTCCTTCTCCAGGCTGGTTTGGGGCGTCACCAAGAAGGGGAGCTGGGGCCTCGTTTGGGAAAGAAGCAATGGAGGTTAACAGCTGGAGCTGGCCCCTACCTCCATCTCCCCCCTGCACCCCGCCTTTCTCTGGCTTTGTCCCACCTCCTCCCGGTCTTGGCAGAAAGAAGAAGAGGGGGGATGGGGCGGAGGGGGCTCCAGCCCAGCCAGCTGTGGTTGCCCTGGCAACGGACTGCTGCAGCTGCAGCAGTGAGCAGAGAGGAGGGAGGCCGGGAACTGGGCTGGGGGAAGGGAAGGGATGAACAGATGAAGCTGGTCAGCCCCTCCTGGGCTGGGGCAGAGGGCAGGGTGCCCGGAGCAGCACATCCCAGTACCAGACGTCACCTGGGACTCCCTGTGAGGGGCCAAGACAGGGGCACAGGGATGTTAGGAGAGAGGCTGAGATGTGGGTGAGGTGGGGCGAGGGAATCAGGACACAGAGTGATCAGGAGAGACACAGATACGAGAGTCACACATTTCTAGAGAATCAGAAAAAAGAGCAGGAGAGGGAAGCGAACAATCTGGAGAGAGATGGATGAGAGCCGCAGGAGTTCCGGGGGAAGAGAAGAGAGATGGGGATCTAGTGGGAGAGGAAATAACAGTAATAGAAAATAGACACGTTAGGAAGTGGACAGGGTCTTGGAGGGAAGCAGAAGAGATTCGACGAGGGGGGCAGAGAACCAGGGCACGTCTGTTAGGAGAGAGAAAGAGCGGAGATGCATGTTGGGGGGAGACACTGTTAGGATCCAGGGACGGGCGGTCTCAGGACAAGGACACAGGGAGATAACCAGACTGCGAGGGAGGGAACACAGAATTAAGGGGACAATAGAACAATCTTGAGAGAGCTAAAGGTATGCAGGGATTCAGAAAGAGCCAGAGTGGGGTGGGAGGGAGACAGAGCACCTGTGGGGCAGGGGTGAGGGAAGGCAGGCAGTGGTCAGGAGAGCGAGGGCTGGCAGGTGGGTTGTGGGGTGTCGGGGTCAGTGTGTGTCAGATGCTGCCCCGTGGTTCCTGGTGGGAGGAGGGCAGCTCAGTCGGGGAGGGGGCCTCAAGGAGGGGCAGACACAGGGAGAGTGTCTGGAACGCTCTAGAATTTTTAGGAGACGTGCAAATAGCTGGTCCACCTCCTCTGGAAAAAGGATCTGTGCCCGTTTTGGAAAAAGTTTTTGTGTGTGTGGTGGCGAAGGGAGGGTCTGAGTCAGAAGCATGGGGTTTGAGCTCAGAGACGCAGGACTCAGTGACAGGTAAATGGGGGGTGGGCCCCGAGAGACCCTGCCAGCCCTGTCAGATCCACATCGAGGCCAGACCTTGGGATTTCACGTGGAAAATCAGTTTGACCAGGATCCCGGGGTCAAACTGCAAGGGTTCAGCTGCAGATCAGGGCTGGAGCTCAAGGCCCCGCCCCAGCCAGGAGGGTCCCCAGAGGAAGGCCTGGGCCAGGGTGGTCACAGGGGGCATGTCGGGATCGTTCCGCAACACCTCCGCCTCACTGTGCTCGCCACCCAAGCTCCAGCTGAATGCCTGGCAGAGGGAGGCAGAGCCTCCCGCTAGGGGGAGGGGTGCGGGTCCGCCAGCTCCAGTGCCTGGACGGGTGTGGCCCGGGTGAGGCCTCGCCAAGGAGGCGTGGGTGGGCCCTTAGTTCTGCGTCTTGCTGCAAAGGACAGATTTACCAAGCTGGAAATCTGGCTTTCTTTTTGTTCAATCTCCAGATTTTTTTTTTGTCGTCATTAATCCTCACCGGAGGATATTTTTTCCATTGATTTTTAGAGAGTGGAAGGGAGGAAGGGAGGGAGGAACATCGATGTGAGAGAGACGCATCTATTGGTTGCCTTCTGCATGCGCCCCGATTGGGCCCGGGAATCAAACCTGCAACCCAGGTACATGCCCTTGACCGCTGAGCCAACCCACAACCCTTCAGTGTGCAGGCCGATGCTCTAACCATTGAGCGACACTGGCCAGGGCCAATCTCCAGATTTTAAAAGTTGACTACTAATTCTAGAGCTCACACACCTGTGGGCGGGGCCTGGCCTTCAGGCGTCAGTATGTGACTTCTGAGGTAGCACCTCCCCCTTTTTAACTTAAGAGCTTTTACGTTCTGTGTGGTGAATTTCTGTCACTTGGGTTTTGAGGAGAAGTTTGCAGGGCTGGTGTTGCCTGGTCTTAGGGCGGCAGGTGTGGAGCGACAGTGACTGGGAAGAGGGGCCCTGGACCACCTCTCCTCGTGACTCTAGGCAGCTGCCCCGCTAGTGAACACACAAACCATTTCTATGAAACATTTATTTCCTTTGAAACCTCCAGAAACATGCCAGAAAATCCCAAGACAGGGATAGAAAAAAGACAATAAAGAATAAAAAATCCAAATGAAACAAATCATATAAAAAAAACAAAACCCGCCGCTTGCTATCTTTAGTCATCAGATAGAACACCAGCTTCAAATTAAATAGATTTGTTTCACAGAGATCCTTAAAAAATAACAGAAAACAAAACCAAAAATCATAATTTACACTTGTCAATGTACACGATTAGGTCCCCAAATGATTAGAATGATCTGAAGATGAGGTGACAACTTAAAGGGGGAGGCACGGGCTCCAAGCTGGGGTCTGAGGAAGGGGGTGGCCTTGGAGAACCCGTCCAAACAGGATCTGGAAACAGGGGCGACATCACAGTAGTTGGCCAGGTGAGGGCCCAGCAGGCCCGCCTGCAGCCGCGTCTCATACCGCGGCGGGCGAGGGGGCAGGTGTCAGGCTCGGTCACAGCACTGCGGTGCCAGGGGCCAGGGGCTGACTGCAGGGGACACGCCCGGTGTCCCTCCCTCCTGGGTAGGCCCCAGTGCCCCCTACCCTGAGGTTTCTGGCCCCAAAGAGAAGGCGGTGAGGTCTCCAAACAAGGACTGAGCCTCCCGGCTCTGGCTGCCAGGCCTGTGCCAACTCCCCTGGTCTGGCGCCTCCCAAGAAGGGAAGACCCGGGCCAGCCCCCCCGGACTGTGTCCCTCTAGTCCTCCTGCCGAGCACCAGCCCATGGGGGACATGCCTCGAGCCGCAGCGTGAGGTTGGGGGAATCCACAGATCGTGGCCATACAGACGTGCTCTGGCGCAACTCTACATGAAAAAATAAATATATATATATATATATCTTGTTTGTTTTCAAAGGAGGAAGAGAAACTGTTTCCTGGGTGAACAGCTTAGTACCGCACCGGCTCGCTGCCCGGCCAGCTGCCCCTTATTGCCTTTGGAGAGAGCAGCTCGTGGGGTTCGCGCAGCAAAGGCTCCCCAGGGCGCACAGTGAGGGTGCCCGTCTCCGCTGCTGCGGGGGCTGCAGGAGGGGCCGGGGGACTCGCAAGGAGAAAACAAAAGCAGAGAGATGAGGCTGTTTCTCCCCAGCCAGGAAGAGGACGTGGCGCGTGGTCAGGGCCGGGCTGGGGTAGCTCTGCCGCGGGGCCCAGTGGGCGGCAGCTTGTCGGAGGTGGAGGGGCGGGGGGTCTAGGGCCTCTGGTGGCCGAGGGGCTGATAGAAAAACTATATAAACAGTGTGCAAACAGTTTTCCTCTCAAAGCAGTTGCCTCTGGATACTGGAGTGTCCCCTCTCCGTCCCGGGACCCCCAGAAGTAACCGAAGCCCCAAGAAAGTGCTCCTGGCTGTTTTGGACACGTGGGGCTGGGCGGGACGACGTCCATGCTTCGCGAGAGCGCAGGGAGAGCCCTGGCCGGTCTCCACACAGGCCCTGACCTTCTGGGCGGGGCGAGGGGCCCTTGTCACCTGGTTTCTCATGCAGGGGCTGGGCCCCACACGCCCCAGCGCTTGCACGTGGTGAAGAGACTTGTTGGTGAGCTCCTGGAGCTGTGGGGTCTGGAGACTCACTCTGCCCTCCCGTGTCCTTCCCACAGCTTCGATGGCTTGGTCCTAGGAGAGGCTGGGTGGGTGGAGGACGGGCCCCTGGGGGCGGTGTGGGCTGGGCCCAGCCTGCAGGGTCTGGAGGCGAGCAGTTCAGAAGGAGGCCTGAGACCCACGAGCAGACCCCAGCCCTCAGGTCTCTGTGTCCAAGGGGAGTGCGGTGGGGCCCTGGCTGGTTATCTTGGTCACGCCCGAGCCAGGGGCTGAGCTAGGTGACAGGAGAGCGGGGAGGTGGCGGCGGCCGGCCCTGCAGCTCAGAGTTCCTTCTTCTCCCTGCAGAAGATCTCTGCGAACTTGCGCAGCTGCTCGCTGGCGGCCTGGGACTCCTCCTGCAGCCGCTGGTTGTTCTGCCGCAGACTGGCCACCTCCGACTGCAGCACCGCCTTGTCCTGCTTCTCCTGCGGGTGGGGTCGGGCGTCAGCGGAGGTCCGGGCCTGTGGCCCTGGCTCAGCTGTGACTGGGAGCGGGGCTGGAGGGCCCTGTCTGCTCAGCCGAGTGACCCTGGGCCAGTCCCTTCATCCCTCTCGGACCCAGCTGCCTCAACTCTAAAGGGGTGGCTGAGAGGTTCCCCGAGGGGATTTCACAACACAGCCTCACCTGGGGTGATGGCCTGACAAATGACACTAATTATCATCACCTCATTCCCCCCTTGGCCGCCCCAGGACGCGGGGAAACCCAGCCGCGCGCAGCGGGGGCAGGACGTGGGCACCGGGCTTCCAGGACCATGTCCACCCAGAGGCGCTGCCTTGCCCACGGTCACATGCAGTGCTGGTGGGATCTGGGCAGGGCCCTGTGACCCCGTGCTCGGACTCACACCACACACCGCCTTGTACCCAAGAGTACATAAAGCGACCCGTCAAGTCTCCTCCACCCTTATGTCTCCTCACTTTCCCCCTGGAGATGCAAACGATTCAGACTGCTGCCTTCCGAGGGTCCTCTGACCATGGATAGTAAACACTTTTTAAGTACGATGTTCTAGACAACAGTTCTGCAGCTTGCTTAGTGTGTCACTAAGTACTGGACGCACATGCATGGTAGCAAACACGGGCCTTCTGGGATCACTAGCCGGCTGCCTGTGGTTCCAGCAGCCCCGCCCGCTGGGAGCTGCGGGGTCAGCGTGTACACAATCCTATTCTTTTTTTAATCCTCATCCGAGGACATTTTTCCACTTTTTGTACAGACAGAGTGGGAGGGAGAGAGAGGAAGAGAGAGAGAAGGAAACATCGATGTGAAAGGGACACATCGAGTGGTCGCCACCCGCACGACCCACCAGGGCCGGGGACAAACTGCAACCGAGGTACATGCCCTTAGCGGGAACCGAACCCGGGTCTCTCCGGACCGCAGGCCGACGCTCTAACCGCTGAGCCAAACCAGCCAGGGCCACAATTCTATTCTTGATAGATACTGTCCAACTGCACCCCAAAAGGCGACACCACTCTGTTCTTCCTCCGTGTGTGTCTGCTCACCAGCCTTGGGCAGTGTCACTTCTACTCTGCATTTGAAGCTGGGTGGCCTCCCGGAGCCTCGGGGGCAGGAGGGGCAGGAGCCGCAGCTGAGCACCTTACCTTCTGGAGGTCCGTGTGCAGCTGCTTCAGCATCACCTCCAGCTGGTACACCTTGCCTGTCAGGTCCAGCGCTGGCTCCTCGCTGGAAAGACATGGGACGGGGTCAGGCCACCCTCACTCCTGAGGTTCTGGGGAGCCTCTGCCCTGCTGGTGCCCCGACGGGGCCTGGAGGAGACCGTGTGGGGGAAGCCAGACGCCAGCCCCCTTCTCGGCCCCGCTGCACCCAGCAAGGAAACGTGTGGACGTGGTGGGGTCGCGGGGGGAGCATGCCTGCCCTGAAGTGTGCCTCCTGAGGACGGGCCCTGTGTGCCGAGGGAGAAGCTCCGCCCCGCGTGTCCAGCTCGTGGAACACAGACAGAGCACCCGAGGCTGTCGGGGACAGGCCGAACGCTGAGACTGAGGGCCAGGCTGTCACAGGGCCCAGCTGCTCTGCCGTCCTCCGTCACTGCCCACTGGACAGGGGGAAACCCGGCTCAGGCAGGGACGCTGCCGAGGGCCTCAGCCTGCGCTCCTCCTCCGTGCCGACTGCCCGGCCCTGGGCCACAGGAGGGGTGGGCTGCGGCGGACGAAGGGAGGCCGGTGTGCCGGCCTAAGAAGGGGAAAGGATGTGGCCTCCCCATCCCCTCCCTCCCTCCGTGGTCCTGCATCTTGGGTCCCTGCAGCTGCAGGGGGCGGTGGGCATGGGGGGGGCGCAGTGCAGGAGGCGCCCAGAGGCCACCGGTGCGGCTGCTCCCCACCCCCACTCCTACTCTCTGGCAGCACATTCTATACCTCCCCTTCCTGTCATTACAGCGGGGCCACATTTGGGGGGAGGGTGTGAAGCCACTGTGTGAAGCCAACATCACCCTGAAAGTGGCTTGTGCGCCCCCAGGTCCGCGCGGCTGCCGTGATCAGAGCCCCGCAGGGGAGGGGCACGTCCGCGCTCCACACCCAGGACTTGCACACAGGCCGCTTCCACTCTCTCCCGCTCCAGTTTCATTTTCTGCCCAGACGGTGCCGTCAAAGGCGCTGCTCGGAATGTGAGAGGACAGATGTGACCGGCCTGGGTCGCTGTGCTCCCGTCCCCAGGAAGCCTCATGAGAACAGGGCTCCTGTCTGTCACCCCTCAGCCAGGACAGCCCACAGGGATCTGCTAGGTCAGAGGTGAGAGGTGACTGTCTGGGAGGAAGATCTGCATGGCTTAGGAATATGCAGAGGAGGCGGCCCAGGAGCAGAGGGGACAGTGGGTCTCCCCTTAGCATTTTGCCAAGTTGGAAGCACAACAGCTGTGAGGACCCCAACGACAGTGCCAGGAGCACCTGAGCGTGAGGACGGAGGACTGACTGGCTGGTCTGCTCACTGCTGGGACAGCGCGTGGGTCACTGCGTCCGGCAGATGGGGGAGCAGAAGTCCCCAGCTACTGCACACGGGGTGGCGGGTGACTACAGCGGCTGTCCCTCACCCGGTGTCCCCAGGGAAAGCTCACCTCATGGTTGGGGTGGTCCTGGGAGTTAGGGAGCCCCTCTCCAGGCTCAGGTGGCTGTGGGCAGGGCTGTGTGCGGGTGGCATGTCTGGGCTCAGAGCTGGGTCGCTGAGAGAGAAGAGGGACACGGCCCTTTGCACTGGCGGAGAGAGAGAGAGGGGACAGAGTTGGCAGCCCTCCTCGCCATGCCCGCCGGGCACCCCTCCCCCCGGGCCTCCGCCACGTCCCCGGCACACCTGTTGGATCACACAGGTGGTGAGGATGAATTCTTGTCAAAAAATCCAACCAGATAAGGATACAAAAACCCCACTGTGATTCTGAGCAAGCGTGAATCCGTCACTACTGGAGTTGCACAAACTGGCCATTGACAAAAATGACCCCCACTTGTGTGACTTCACTGAGGCTCACGACCTCAATGAGCAGGTGAAATCCATCCATCAAGGAATTGGGGGACCACGTAACCAATGTGCGCAGATGGGGGGCCCCTGAAGCCGGCTGGGCCGAGCGTCTCTTTGACAAGCACAGCCTGGGACAGTGACGAGCGAAGCCTCAGGCTGGCATCCCGCAGCCGCGGGGTGACCCCTGGTCACCGGAGCAGGACGTGCATGTTGGGGGTCACCTTTGCCTTTCCTTTAACTTGTACCGAATCACCCATTTACATCTTTTCATTTGAAAAGTAATTTGGTAGCCACCCCCCGAAAAAAGAAAATGGTCAAACGTGGAGGCACTGAAGCTGCGTGGCACCCGGTACGTGAGGGTCTGGTACAGTCTAGTTCAGGGAATGTCTGTGAGGTCACAGGAGCGAAAAAGAAATGTGGAGAGACTACCCCTGCACTGAGGGAGAGCGGCCGTCACAGGGCAGGTGACAGCGAGCGTCCGTGTCCCCAGGCACACTGCTTGCTCTATGTGGGGCCCGAGTGCCTGCGATTCATTTTTTTCCTTTATGTATTTTTTAGAGAGAGGGGAAGGAGAGGGAGAGAGAGAGAAACATCGATGAGAGAGAACATCGATTGGCCGCCTCCTGCATGCCCCCCACTGGGGATCGGGCCCACAACCTGGGCATGTGGCCTGACTGGGAATCGAACTGGCGACCTCTTGGTGCAGGGTCCACGCTCAACCACTGAGCCACACTGGCTGGGCCGATTGCTAGTGATTCTAAATGGGGCTGTCAGGGGATCTTTCTGTAATGACAAGAACCGGTGGTGGTCCGATGCAGAGCGGGGGGTGGGGTGGGGACTGTTCACAGAGCCCTGGGACTGTCACCAGACAAGGGGGCGTGAATGCCCAGGAGGGGACCTGTGCGCATGCCCTGAGGGCACAGGGCAGGCCAGGAGCAGAGTGGTACGGCTGGCCACACACCTGGACACTTCTCTGCTCAGAGAAGAGCACAGTAGAAACCTGACAGCCTCCCTCAGATCCACCGCCTGGTCCCCTTGTGCCACACTGACCTTCCCTCTCCCTCTCGTCTGCCTGTGCACATATCTCCCCCCCGTTGAGAGTGAACTGCCAACATCACGGTGCTTCACCTCTACACAGTTCACTATACTCTCCAAATAATGAGGACACCCCTCCGTCACCACACACTGTCCTCGCAGGAACCTCCCCATTCACGCGGGACGGCCGTCTAACAGTCAGTCACCTGGAGACGCCCCCCCCAAATGCCACCCCCACAGCTGCTGGTTTCTGTCCTGGGTTTTATATCTACTCTCTTTGAAAATATTTTTCTGTGAACAATGTCACACATGCCCCCAAGCAGAGGAAACACACTGTGCACGGCCTTGAACCCACCGCCAGGCTCCAGTTCCCGCCCTGTCTGGCTCCTCCCTCCCCTGCTGCCCTTTGCTTCTATGGCCCCTGTCCCCGCCCCATGCTCCTTCCCTTCCCGCCTACAAGCAGCTGACTGAGGCTCCAGGACACAGCACGTTGCAAATGCCGAGAGGTCCAACCTGGCCTCTGCGGGTCCAGCCTGCGACCTCATCTGCAAGTGGTCCGGACTCCTGACACCTCCCTCAGACTAGAGACAGAAGGGATGCTCTCTGCCCGGCTGGAGAGGCTCAGGTGGCTGAGCGTCGTCCTGGGCACCAAAAGGTTGCGATTGGAGCCCAGGGCGGGGCACATGCCCGGGCTGAGGGCCCATCCTCAGTAGGGGGTGTGCAGGGGGCAGCCGATCAACAGTTCTCTCTCGTATATGTTTCTTTCTACCTCTCCTTTCCCCCTCTCTCAAATCAATAAAAACACATGAAAATCTGTATGTATATTTAAGAGCTGCTGTCTGTGAAGCGGTGAAGCGCTGGTCCCGAGCAGCTGCTCGGGAATGTCACCCTGGCTGCAGCGCCTCTCCAGGGACCAGCGCTGAGAGCCCTTCCCACCACGGGGCTCGTCAGGCCTACAGAGGGTCCCGTCCAGCAGGGTGGGCTTCTGCCTGGCAGCCATTCTCGGGTGGAAGGCGGGGTAGACCAGAGGCTGGGCCTCGTGTGCTCTAACCACGCCCCTCTCGGCCCCAACCCAGGCCCGGCGGCCTCCGTCCTGTGGCCCGTGGAGGCTGCAGGACAGGATGGAAGCTCTGGAGAGAAGCAAACGAGGAAGGACATTCCCTCCAGGGCCGCTGGCCCGGTGTACCGGCTCGGACATGGGGAATGAAGGTGTGTAGTCTAGCTGAACAGATGTGTGCCAGGTCGTGCTAGGCGCCCAGGGTGACAGCCACAGGGCCCTGTCCTCTGGCCCAGTGGGAGACATGCCCATCACGAGACAGGGGTGGCTCAGAGTGGGCAGCGCCTAGGAGCCCAGAGGAGGTGCCTGACCCAGACTAGGAGATACCCGGGAGGGCTTCTTGGAGGAGGGGCAGCTAAGCTGTGGCCTAAAAGACAAAACATGAGCCAGAAGAAGATGTCCGTGTCTGTCAGGGATCACAACAAGAACCACTTTACCGACGAGGCGACAGAGGCTCAGGAAGGTAAAGCCGCTTGCCCAGGGTCACGTGGACGGGGTGGCAGAGACTGCTAGCTGTCCCTCATGACCAGTTTTCCCTTTCTCCCTAACAACGAGTCCCAAATTTCAGCTGGACCCATGGCCTCCTTTCCCAGCCCGCCCTGCACCCAGGCGTGGCCACGTGTGATACTCTGGCCAATGGAAGCAAGCACAGGAGTAGTGAGGCTTGGGAGGTGTCCTTAAAAGGGAGGACACTGTGTCCTCTTTCCTCTGGTCAAAGCTGGACATCATGGCCAGAACCCAAGTAGCCTCACTGTGCAGGTGGGGAGCCTGTGCCCAATGCACTTGTGGAAGTGCCATGCCAGCCTCAGGCAGCCCACCCAGGCATTTTTACCTGTGCAAAACCTGGCGTGTGTAAGTCTATTAATTTGGATTGCTACACTTTTGCCCTATAGTAACGTTTAGGATTGCTACACTTTTGCCCCATAGTAATGTTTGTACTGCTACACTTTTGTCCTATAGTAATGTCTGGATTGCTACACTTTGCCCTATAGTAACATTTGGATTGCTACAATTTTGCCCTATGGCAATAAGGCAAGGCCCCGGCTGTTGAGGGCTTATTCTCTCTAGGCGACTCTCAACCGCTGAGCCAAACTGGCCAGGGCGAGGGCTTATTCTGTGCCTGACATGTTTTACACGTTTCATATAACCCTCCCTGCAGCCCCAGGCTGTGGGCAGTCACACCCCTGATTTGCAGACAAGGTAACAGTATCAGGGAGATGAAGACATTTGGCCAGGCTGCACAATGAGCAAGTGACAGGGGACGGATAGGAACCCTGTTCCTCCTGATTCTGGAACCTGAGTGTGTCCCCCTTCAAAGCCCCAAAGCCCCCCACAGAAGAGGGTAGGAACTGGCGGGGTTGGATGGAGGGCGCCTACCTTCGTACGCCTTGGCTGCGTTTACCAGGCTGGACCACTCGAGGCCAGCAGCTGTGTCAGGCAGTGGCATCATCCCGGGGTCGAGGCGTCGGAGTGGCCGGTCCCGCCCGTCGGCCAGGGAGAGCTCAGAGGCCGAGATGATGGCTGGGTGGGGAGAGCAGGTAGGGAGGGGGGCGAGAATGACAAGGTGGGAGAAACAAAGACAGTGATACATTGTTATAATCTATATGTAATTATACAACATTATGTAATTGTTGTAACATTAGATATAATTAAATACATGCTACATTCATTAGATGATAAATGCCAGGGAAAACACCTAGCAGGGAAGGGGGTGGGAGCGTCGGGTAGGTGCGTGGGTGCGTCTGACACGCGGTGGAGGGGAGGCCTTAGCGAAGACGGGTCTGCACAAAGCCCCGAAGGAGAGGAGGGCCGAGCCAGGGGCTACTTGGAGGAAGAGCATCCGGGCCGAAGGAACAGCCAGTACCAAGTTCCCAAGGCAGGAACGCGCCTGTGGCTTTAAGGAACACGTGGGTGGCCACGTGGCTGGGACAGACCAAAAGGGAGAGCAGTGAGGGGTGAAGTCCAAGGTGACAGGGCTGGCTTGCATGGGGCCTTGTGGGCCGTGGTGAGGACTTTGTCTTTCCAAGTGGGAAGGAGCCACAGGAGGGAGGGATGTGACCCAACAAGGTGTTCGCAGTTCCCTCTGGCTTTGTTTGGGGGACAGATGGTGGAGGGGACGTGGGGAGCAGGGAGGCAGTGAGGAGGCTGCTGCGACGCTCCAGGAGGGAGACGAGGGTGGACAGGACGAGGTGGACTGTGGAGGGACAAGAAGGTAGATTCTGACTCTATTCTATAGGTGGAGACGACAGTATGTCCCGAAAGTGGATGTGGGTGTAAGACAGAGAAGGGTCCAGGGTGACTTCACGATTCTGGAGCTGAGGTGGGAGGGCTGGGGTGTGAGCCGTCCTTAGACCCCGTGAAGAGCCAGGGGTGGGTGGCTGGCTGCAGGGGTCTGGAGCGGGGAGAGGGCGCCAGGCTGCAGATGTAACTGGTTGTCAGTGTCCGGCCAGTGTTTACTGTGGCAGGGCCACCGTGGGGAGACCTGAGGGCTGGGCAGAGAAAGTGGCCCGAGTCTTGGGTGCATGAAGTGACAGCACAAGCTGCATTTGCTGTGGCTCCTGAGCGAGTCCCCTGGGGCTTCACAGCCCACAAAGGGGATGGGACAGAGGAGGGCAGCAAGGCACAGAGAGGTCAGGAGGTGACTTGGGCAGGACCAGGCCCGGCTGAACCAGGGCTGCTGTGTCCTGAGTGCGTCCTCTTGCTGGGCACTGCGCTGGGCACCATGGGGCTCAGCTCGCAGTTTCTCCTCCTTAGCTAGGAGGGAGATGTCATTGCGACCCCTTGTGCAGGGGACACGGAAGCCCAGAGTGAGAAGCTGCCCTGCCTGCGGCTACACTCACTGGTGGTCTGACGCTGCCCCTGCCGAGCCCAGGCCTGCAAGGCGTGGTGGCCCGAAGGTCCCGCTACCTGTCCTCCCGGCTCCCCAGTGCACAGGCAGACCTGCTCACCGCGGGCTCCAGGGCCTGCTCCCATGACCGAACGGACAGAAACAACGAAGAGCTACCGTCTGTCCAGTTTTTACCCCACGCCAGGCATTGTGCTAGCGTTTTCCATGTAGTAACTTGTCTGAGTCTTAGATCCAGTGAGGGGAGCACTACTTTTGCCCCCATCCTGCTATCACAGAAACAGGCACGGAGAGTTTGCTTCCGAGCGGGAACCTGGGCCAGACTACGGCCGCCCATCTCGGCCCAGCGGAGCCAGTGAGCACCCGCCCAGTGACCGCTCAGGGGGATGGCAAAGGCCAGGGAGGGAGCTGAGCCCTTGCCCGGCACCTGCTGCTGCCCAGACAGAAGTCAGCGGGCGCTGCTGTGAGGGGCTCCTTGGTGTTGAGGGTCCTTGATTAGTGACCCGGGCTGGGCCTCCTCTCTTCAGCCCCGGCGTGGCTTGGAAAGGGCTCTTGAGCAGGCTTGGGAGAGGTGGAGAGGCCTGGGGAGCAGGGCCAGGCTGAAGCCAGGGGGCGCTCTCCTTGGCTCAGGGGCTCATATGGGCAAAGAGAGGTGCATCTGTGTGCTCTGCGGGAGTCCTGGGTGGGGGTCCCCACAGTGACCCAGGCCCTGCTCTTAGGAAGGGAGACCCATTCCCACGTGGTGACAACCCACAGTGACCGGGCAGTGATGGGGAAACATGAGGCAGAGGGACCAGAACAGATGGGAGCAACCCAAGGGGTCACGGGGAGGTGCCTGACTCATCCTGGAGGTGGTGGCATCCGGTTGAGACTGAAAGAACAAGGCAGATCCCAGCTGGTGTGGCTCAGTGGTTGAGCGTCGACCCATGCACCACGAGGTCACCGGTTCGATTCCCGGTCAGGACACATGCCCAGGCTGTGGGCCAAATCCCCAGTGGGGGGCATGCAGGAGGCGGCCAATCAGTGTTCTCTCTCATCGATGTTTCTACCTCTCCCTCTCCCTTCCTCTCTCTCTAAAATCAATAAAGAAAAAAAAAAAAAGGAAGGACGAACGAGGCAGAGCTGGTGAGAGGCGTTCGAACCTGTCTTCCTGTGTTCTCCACGCCTTGGCCCGCGCTCACCTTCTCCTCAGTATGGGCTCAATGACAACCACGTGCCAGGCCCTGACTGAGGCAGACAGCGCAGTAAAGACGGGACGGCAGAGGGAGACACAGGGTTCAGCTCAGGGAAGTTTGAGGAATGCCCACCGAAGCTCAGCCCTGTGCCCAGTGCCTGGAGCAGCGCCTGGCCCACAGCACTGGGCAAGGAGGGTAAAGAGGGGAGGGCCGGGGCTCTGGGGAGTCAGCCAGGGAAGAGCAGTAACTGAGCAAAGCCCTTAGGAGAAGCAGGAGTCAAGAATGGGGTGGGAACAGGGTGGGCAGAGGGAACAGACGCGCCGAGGCCGAGGTGGGAAGGTCTGTGCACTGGAGGGTGTCAAGGAGGGGACCGTGAAGTGGGGGAGCGGAGGCTGGGCCCTGAAACACCAAGGTAAGTGTGGATCCAGACACTATGGCAATGGGAGCAGAGAGAACTTGCAGGGAAACACAGACCCTTTCAGAAAGCCCCAGCGCCCCTCCACCCACTCGATCCAGGACACAGCCCTTGGGCCAGAGCCTTCGGGGCAGACACCTCTGGCATCCAGATGGGTATGGACTTGGGAAGCTGCGCTACACATGACCCAGCACACCCTGAGGCCAGGCGGCACCGTGGCCAACGCACCGGCGTCCTGAGCAAAGCGACAGATCCTTCCTACTGAGCGGGGTGACCAAGCAAGGACCCCAGAGAGCCTTACATAGCTCATGTCGGCTTGTGCTGCCCAGGGAGCCTGGCCCCACCTTCTGTACCCCCTTCAGTTTAGAGCTGTGGGGTGTGGAGAAGGGATTCGAGGGCAGACCACAGGCTGGTTGCTAGGGGCCATGTGCACAGCGCCCCTCCGTGGGGGACACTCAGTAAATATTTGCTGGATGAATAAAGGACGCATGGCCTCAGCTCTGTACCCCTTCCCTCCCTGGCAGACCCGGGCAGTCAGCTGGGTGAAGCCAGGTTCCCTAGGTAATCTGCCCGAAGGAGGAACGGGGAGCGGGGGCTGGGGCCCTGGGCTGATCTGGGTAGGCTGACCTCCCATTTCCGGTCAGATGCCCCTAATCCTCGGGGGCTCCAGATTCCTAAGTGACCCCCTGGGGACCCTCTAGGCTTGGCCAATAACCCCTTGCTCCATGGGTGATACCCAGTGCCACCCATCAGGCCCTTGAAGCTAATGTGCACCCCAGTTCCCTCCCTGGCTGAGGTCTTGCCTTTGACCTCCAGGTGATCCACAGCTGACCACCGGCCCCGTCCCCTTGCTTTCCACCCCTGGGGTGACCCCTGCCGGCCGGGTCCCCGGGCTCACATTTCTTCTCCGGGAAGCCATTGCCAGCCGCAGGGACGGTGCTGGGGCTGCCGCCGCCGGGTGCGTGCTGGTGCTGGTGCTGGTGCTGGCGGCGGGCGGGCAGCGTGCTGGACGGGAAGGCGCAGGTGCTGGTGAAGAGCACGTCGCTGGGCAGGCCCGCCTCCAGGCCGGCGGAGTTGGCAAAGCTGGGCTCCCGCCGCCCACTGCACAGGCTCTCGTCAGACAGCGTCCGCTGAAGGCTCTTCTGTGGCGACTGCTGCTGAGATAGGGGAGGACAGGGCACGGTCAGAGCCCGGCCCACAGTCACCGTCCTCGCGAGCGCCTTCCTTCCTGACATCTGCGGTTCTTACCCACCCAGCTTCCGTCTTTGCCCCTTTTCTGGCCAAAGCACCTCCATTTCCCCTGGGGATTCCTCCTCCACCACCTGTAGCCCACTTGGTTCTGGAGGGTCAACGCCACCCTCCAGTTCCAGGGAAGGTAGGGAAGGTGGTGGCCCAAGCTGGACCAGTGAGGGCTGGTCATTGCTGGGGACCTTGGGGACAGAGTGCTGCTCTCTTGAGCCTTCGCAGTCACCACGAGGGAGCGTCTGACAGCGAGGGAAGCGGGGGGGGGGGGGACGACAACGGGCACAGAGGGCCCAAGGACAGCTGCTGTTGTGGCCCCTGGGAACCCCACTCCACTTCTGATCCCCCTGGTTGGGCAGATGGGGGCTGCCTCCACCCTGGGCTCCATGAGGAGGACACGGACACCTACAAGAGCATCCCCCCAGTTCCATGAGGTCTCTCGTGTGGAGTAAATCCCCGGAGTGCCCACCAAGCTGGCTTGCTCTGTGCTCCCATCCCTGACTGATGATGTGAGCCCTGAGTCCCAGCCACAAAGCTGCGTCCACCCAAACAGGGCTGGCAGGACCGAAGGCTGAGGACCCACAGGAAGAGGCCAGATGACCGTGGGGACCCCTCCCTCCCTCCCCCATGCAGCCCGCTTCGTACTCCTGTGTCCCTCTCCTGGTCCGGCGCCAGGTTGTCCATGATGATGAGCTTCTTCAGGTCGTCCTCGATGGTGGACTTATAGTTCTTCCGTGGGGAGCGGAGGTCGCGGAGGGACGCCCTCAACCGTGGCTGCCCAAAGACGTTTTTCGTATTGGTGTCCACCTGCCTGGAGTGAGAGGGTCAGGGTCAGGGGGTCTCGGGAGGCTGGAGCTGCTGCTCAAAGCTGTCCTGATCCGAGGAGGCCTGATGCCACTGGGCGAGTGACCGCAGCCTTCTCCACTGCCCATGGTGCGTGTGACAAGAGGGACCTCGTTTGTTCTTCATTCACTCGCCCCACAAATACTTCCCGACCCTCCTCTGTGCCACACCTGTCCCAGGGCAGCATGAGCCTGGAGCCGATGAGCAGGAGACCCCGGAACATGAGGCAGAAAGGCGCTCTGAACAATAAAGCCGGGTGGGTGGACAGGATGACGGGGCTGGAGGGAGGCTTTTCCGAGGGGGACACATGGGCGAGGGCGGTGAGTCTGAGGACTGGAGCCGTGTGTGGAGGGAGCGAGGCAGTGGTGGGAGGTGAGTCGGTGGGGACTGGCGAACTGTGCGGGAACCTGTGGGCCATGTGTGACTGGTGGCGTGGGGAGGAGGCTCTGCAGTTCTGAGCTGGCGAGTGCGGGGCCCTGACAGGCCGCTCCGGCTGCCGGACAGAAGAGTGACCGCACGGAGGTGGGCACGAGAGTGGAAGCAGGAAGGCAGCGAGGAAGCTCCCGCAGGTGAGAGGTGACAGTGGCCCAGACCAGGACTTGCAGCCACAGAACAGGGACTGGTCCCCACAGGCAGTGCTGGCCACAGGCAGCAGACCTCTGGCCTGGGCGTTAGCTCTCCCTAGCTCTCCTCCGTTTCCTCATCCATTCACGGAGTGAGCGGGCTCACGCACCAGGAGATGAGGGCCTGGAGACAGGCCCCTGCACCCTGGGCAGCAGCGTGGAGCCCCTGACTGTGCCGCGCCCGCTTTCCCACTCGGCCTCCCGTTCCAGAAGCCAGTCCGCGAGCCCGAGTCACTGTGCCCACCCCAAAGCATACCCACACTGCCTCCCAGGACATGCTGAGGTCTAAGCCACTGAAGCTCAGCCTGGGTTACAGGCAGGGCCTGGACACAGACAGGCCTGGATCTGGTCCTGGCTCTGCTTGTTGTGCTGTGGGACCCTGGGCCAGACCCATCGCCATCTGACCTCCGGGGCGTGCTCGGCAGGAGTCATGCTGACCCCACAGCACGGTGGGGTTTGCTGTGGGGCAGGTGGCCGGCACCTGACACAGGGCGATGCCTGGGAAGTGAGGGTTGACTTGGAATAGTCACCCGGGCTGCCCAGCACCCCCAGCCACGCATGCTCCTCTCTGCGCTCCCTTACCCCTCTGCTGGCTCCCCGGCCCTCCCCGCCTGGGACTTCCCCACAGGCCTCCTCCTCCAGCCTTTGGGCTCAGGTCTTACTTCCCTGGTAAAAACCGGGTCTCTGACCTGAGGTGTGGCCGGGAGAGAGAACGACAGCGAGCGGGAAGGAGCACAGCCCACCCTGCAGCAGGCACTCCAGCAGCCGAGGGCCCCGTGAGCTCTGTCACCCACACGCAGCCCTCCCAGAGCTGCGGTACCACCACCCCATTCAACAGACGGAATAAAGTGACTCCGCGGCACTTGTCCTGAGTCACACGGCCTGTGTGCAGGGGGTGGGGATTCCTGACAAGGCCACCAGGCTGTGGGGCCCACGGGTGTCACTGCCGTGCTCGCCCGCCAAGTCCGCATCACGGAGATGCAGGAAGGAGGACGCACATTTGTGGAACACCAGCACCTCTGGCTCAGAAACATGCTTTCATACGCAGAAAGGAATTCTGGAAGGAACGAACAACGGTGACCTCTGGGGAGTGGAAAAATGGGCTTTTCATCTGTTATCCTTCTGACTGTCTGAATTTATTTTACCACAATCATGTTATAACAACAACAGTAATAATAATAACTCGTTCTTAAAAGGCTGACACCTTGACTCCACCACTGTTTGGGCTCCTGAGGGTTTTGAAGTCTACATTTTCTCTCATCTCCTCAGTGGCCAGCGCTGGAGTTGTACCAAAGAAAAGGAGAAAGAGTGGCAAGTTCTCTTGTTAGGTCAGATTCCTCCCCAAATTAGAATTCCAGGTCCAGAATAATTCTGGCTTCATTATAGTGTTCTCTGCTGTAGATCAGAGTGAGACAGAGACAGAGACAGAGAGGGAGGGAGGCAGAGAGGGAGGGGAGGGAGAGAGAGGGAGAGAGAGGAGAGAGGGGGAGAGGGGGAGGGTGAGAGGGGGAGAGAGGAAGGTAGAGAGAGATGCACACCCTGGAGTGAACTTCTTCCTACAGGAGCTGGAAGGGGACCTGCCCATCTCCGTTCCCTTCGGATTTCGCCACTTCCCAGAATGCTCTGCACAGGGAGCGGTGCCTGGGTGCAAGGCACGCTGGGTGCTGTGCCATGGACCGGAGGGAGCGCCGGGTCTTCATTCCTACAGCCAGAAAGGGGCCGTCCCCAGGCTCTGCTCTGGGAGGGGAGGACTCGACAACGTGCTCTCTCTGCCCGGGGAGTCCTACTTCTGGGACTGAGTCCTTCAGAAGGGTCTGTGTCCACCCACGCACTGGTGTACGGGGACACTCCAGGGGCCGTCTGTGGGCGAATGCGGGGGAGGGGAGGCTCCCCGGGAAGGGTTGGCAGGGAATGCCATGGAGCTGCCCACAAGAAGGGCAGCCGATCCGCAGGACACAGGACGAGGCCCCACGAGAGAGGTCAGGGGAATGAAGTGGTGCACGTGCAGCCCGACATCATTTTTGGAAAATAAAACTCAGGCACAGCTTAGCTCAATATACTGAGGTTCACCAAACTCTCAGCTCCAAACTGGGTATGTGGGGGACTTTCTTCCTAAAAACATTCCTCACCAGGCCCTGGCTGGGTGGCTCAGGTGGTTAGAGCATTGTCCCCATCTGCCAAGGTTGCGGGTTCAATCCCCAGTCAGGGCATATACAAGAACCAGCCAATGAATGCATAAATAAGTGGAACAACAAATCGACGTTTCTCTCTCTTCCTTCCTTCCCCTCTCTCTTTAAAATCAATGCATAAAAATTAAAAACAAAAAACAAACAAAAAAAGACATTCCTCACCACAGCACACAAGGTCCCAAACAACTTGCCCTGGTCCCTCTCTGCCCTCATCTCCTGCATAAGCCTCCCACTGTTCCTTAAACACACCAGACATGTCCCTGCCCCAGGGCCTTTGCACTGGCTTTTCTGTCTGCCTAGAGTGCCCAGCTGGCATTCCCCATGAATGGCAGCTTCTCATCCATCCAGCTTAGCTCAAACTGCACCTCCTCCAAGAGGCCTCCCCTGACCACTCAACCTCTTGGTACTACCTCCCAGCCCAGGTACCCTCCATCACTCAATCCTGTCTGTGCTACTTCTTGACTGGTCCACCTCATGAAGATTTGTTGTGTGAACCATGCATCTGTGGTCCCTCTCCTTCCACCTTATCTGCAGCCTTCTGCATTCTGTGTCGTGTCAGGAACAGGACTGCCACATTGTAGGCAGGTAAATGTAATTGTTAATGAACATCACATGGGACCTTCCTTCCTTCCTTCCTTCCCCCTTCTTCCTTCCAGGCCACCTCTCTACTTACCTTCTTCCTTCCTGCCTGCCTTCTTCTCTTCTTTCCTTTTACATCAAACTTAAATTACTTTATTTTATTTTTATCCTCACCCGAGGACATTTTTGCATGTATCTTCAGATAGAGCGGGAGGGAGAAAGGGAAGAAGAGAGAGAAACATTGATGTAAAAGAGACACATCTACTGGTTGCCACCCGCACAACCCCAACCGGGGCCAGGGACAAACTGCAACCAAGGTACATGCCCTTAGTGGGAACCGAACCTGGGACTCTCCTGTCCGTGGACTGACACTCTATCCGCTGAGCCAAACCATCCAGGGCTTAAGTTACTTTTATAAAACAGAAAAAGAAGATACTTTGAAAAGTTAAACCGAAAGAACACAAGTATTCCTTTCCCACTGTTTAATTTGTGTTCATTTGCTCAAACCTCCTTCCCAGCTCCGAGGACGGCTGCCTTCCTAACTCTGCCGTGAGAGAAGTGCGGCCAGAACGTTCTCCCTTGACCCTCAACTCTGGACGGCCTCGCCCACCGCAGGTTCATGGTCTGATACCACCCGTGGGCTGCTGTGACAGGCCTAAAGGGGAAAGGAACAATGCAATCCAGTTTGCAGAGTCAAAATGATCATTTTTACTTATTCTCTTTCTTCTGGAAGAATTTTTCCAATGCATTTTCTAAGTTGCAAAGCCTGAGCGGTAATTTACAATGGCATTAATTCTAGATTAAAAACCAACAAACCAAACTGGGCCTGTATAGCTCTGATCTTTTTTCCTCTTCTCAGGATCTCTGGTCTTGAGATCCCGAGAAAAGGAAAAAACTTCATGCCCTCTGAGGATAACATGAATTACTCTCCTGGGACGGCGCGCTAACCAACTAAGCAGGTTAAAAAGAGGAGATCACTTTCTATCTGCTAACATGTAACTGTTGCCAAGACATCTGAAAAGAACAAGTGAAAAAGGCAGAAGTGTAGAGACAGGAGGGGACCACAGAGATGAATACCAGGGGGAGAGAAGCGTCCTCCATCACATGTGCTTGGTCAAAGTCCCCGGCTCTGGAAGGGTGCGGAAGAAAGGAGAGACAATGGGTGCATGTGGGGAGGGGCGCTGGATGGCTGGGGGCCAGGGAAGGAGGGAGGCTCAGTTTTCACTGCAAACTTTTTTGTACTAGTTCGGCTTTTTCTGGCCTGTGCATATTTTACATTTCAAAACACAAATGAAAAAAACACCCAGAAGGGTTACCCTCCCCACAAGGTTCTGACCACAGCGCTGGGCAGAGTCTCTGATGCCCATGCTGTCTGAAGTTGGGTTTTGTCACGCTGTGGAGTTAAACCACTTACATCAGAAAAGAATGAGACAGAAAAATGACAAAGAAGGCTCTGCCGTTCGGCCTGACAACAGCAACTTCTTTCTTCCCGGGCGGAAGGGCCAGCACTGGAAGACAACCAAGGGCTCCCACTTGGCTGGGTCTGATTCCAGCTACTTGGAGTGCTGGCCTCCCAC